ATATATTATATCCATATCATCTTACAGAGGAATTTTCATGGAAAGTTGTGTTTATGTTTTGCAATTTTTCATGTCTTTGTTATTGGTTGGTAATATCTAGAATCTTCTCCAGTCTGGAGTGGGTGGCCACAAAAAATCTAATAAATTACATTACATTACGTTATGTTACATTGTGTTACACTGAAAATTGTACAGAACCTAATTTAGATTTCAGATATATCTGGAAGCACTAAATTGTGAGAAATAAGCAGAGCTTTAAAAAGGTAAAGCTTTGGAGGTAGGGCTTAAGATAAAGCATTACCTTTTTCTTTCTAAGGGCAAGAAAGTTGAAGAATGATGGGCCTTTTCACTTAAATTGGGTGTTAGAATAAAATGAGCCAATGGCCATTCTTATGGAGAAAAGTGAAAGACTCTGCCTGTAAAAGAAGATGAAAAAAATGCAGCAGTTTTGCCCAATAGATTCAGAGTAAGACCTTTTCTTTCCGTCTTCCCTTCTCTCACCAATCAATAAATAACTCAATTTTATTAAATCAGTGGAGATTTCTTTGGGAGTGCAGTGATGACTGGATTATAAAGACAATTATGTGACAAATGAACATCAAGAAAAGTGGTAAGGGGTTAGAAATGATTTGATTGTTATGTACCTTAATTCTTTCTTGGAGATTTGGATCTCCGTATTTCTGTGTGAGAAGAAGTTTCTCTCCCTCCATTGTGCCAGTCTTTAGAAACAAATACAGCTAAGGTTAACAGAATATTGTAGCTCAGCTGTGAAAACCTTTTATGGAGTTAGCACTGGCATATAAGCAGGCATGAGTTGTAGGACAACTGGGCAAGGTTATTCTCCTGCCTTCAGTTTACAACTTTAAGTAACTGTAAGCTGCTTCTTCTGTTTGACCAGTGTGCTTCTGAAAAGTCCATCTGGTACTGCGTGTCTTATCATTATTTATACAAAAGCTCAAACAAAAACTTCAACTGTTTGGAATATAACCAAATAAATTAATATAATTGGTTTGGGAGATAACTTATTACTGTGAACCACATTCCAGCATAGGTTAAGATTGCAACAATACAGTACATGGTTATGGATGAATTGCACTTAATTCTGTTTAGTTGAGGGGCATTTTTTAACCTAACATGGTAACATGGATACTATGTTGTATATGATATGATGCACAAATCCAGCAAAACATATTCCTTGAGTATTAATTGAGAGCTAGACCCCTGTAATTTTCATGCATTTTGAAAGTATGCTGTGGTTTGTGTATAACTAGACAGGATTTTTCAAATAGTTTTTGCAATGCAAACAAAAATGTTTAAATAATTGTATCTCAGCAATTTCTTAAGATATTTTTTCTTTGTTAAAAAATGAGAAACTTACAGTGTTCCCCACACAGACTTTCTGTGCCAAGCTGCATGTGATTGGAATAAATTATCTTCAGTGTAACTATACTGTTAAAGTGTTGTGATTGTAAAACACAGTTTGAGCTATCTCCCTGAAGGAAGCTGACTTACACACAACCACCCATTAAAAAAGACATTCTGGTCCTCTTTGTAAAGTGCTGTACAAAAACTGAAAGGTAAGACAGATTGCTTCTTCTTGTAGGGTCATAATCTATTTGACATGATAAGTATGGAGGGGAAAAAATGCAACGAGATGCAAGTACTTGTTCTCAATGTTACATATATTCCGTGTCATTTATGTTCGAAGATTGCCCCAGTGCTCTTGAATGTTTCTCATAAAGCACAAAAGTCTAAAGAGAGATTCTAGATTCTTGCTCAACTAAATATCCTTAGAATCATCTTACAGATCCCTGTACTGAGAAGGAAGAGGGGAGCCAGTGGGAAAGGGAATGTAGGAAGCAGTAATAAGATAGATTTTCTTCCTTCCTGTTCTTACACTCTTGGATTACAAGTAGAGCTTATGCCCCAATAGGACTGTGATTGCAGCCATGTCCTCTGATCTAGCTAGGTAAGCCTCCCTCCGTCTCCTAATCTTTGTCCTTGGGGAGTACATGTGTCTTGCCAAAACCTCTCTTTGCACTCACAATGCAAAAGTGTCCGTTGCAATTGTACTCGGTTCTGTTCTGTCTTCACATGTCAGTAGAATTGCTTAGCTTAGTTATCATTCCATTATAGTCTTTGTGGTTTTTCTGTAAACAAATATAAAACAGACCTGGCAATGCTTAAATTATGCATGCAGTCTGGGGTTTGTCAGGTTTTATGCCAGTGGGAGAAATTTAGATTTGGCTCTTATAAGACCGGTATGAAAATTACTGATGATACATATCCAGCAATGAGATATGACTTATTTAGTATGTCTCTTCTGGCCATAATCACATTTTAATGTGGTGTCTGCATTGCAACAAAACTCCCCTACTTCAAGTAGTCATCTTCCTTTTGCCCCAAGTAGAAAGATTTTTAGGGATCTGCTTTAGGTTTCTGTTCAATCGGTTCACCTGTTTTTGCTTAAAGCTCAGAACATCTGCTTTATGTTACTGTTGGCTATTTTAAGATCCACTGCATGGTTAGTCAGAAGTTTTGGAAAAACAACAACAACAATGAGAATACTTGATTAACAACCCTTTGGCCCAGTTGCTTGTCTAGTTTCTAGCTGTGTGTGAATAGCACATTTGTGGTCATGTGGATTGCTAACCGTAATGAGACTGTTTTGTAAGCAATAGCTAGAGGATCTAGCTAGCCTAGAGAGCAGTTTAAGAGAATCTGCAGGGATCATTCAGATGCACCACAGGCTTTGTATAGTCTTTCCAGTAGCCTCATTGAATTGTCTCTTAACATGGGGCCCTGCAGTTCCCTGTGAGAGAGGGACGTGTCACTTGAGCCAGATGTTTCCTTATTAGTTGCTGGGCAAAGGCAACTGTATATGCATTTCTTGGATTTAACACCATATCCTTTGAGCATTTTAAATCATGCTTCAAGATAATCAGACCTTTAGAAAAGTGCCAAACTGTCGTACTTGGACATTAAAAACTTGGTGAAGCCATAGATCCAGTTCCCCTGGCCAGGAGCAGTGCAAATTTCTTTGTGTGTCTTGCTTCATGGTTCTGAAATCTGAGTTAGAGGAAACTTCTCTTGGGAAGTAAAAGGCTAATTCGTTCTCCATGGCCTCTTCAGCTTTTGGCTTCTTTGCTTAAACTGATGCCAGTTGGAAGGATGAGCGGTATCTGTTTCCATACACAAAGAGGAACTAATATCCATTAAATATGAATCCTGTGTGTTTATTTGAAAATGATGGGCCATGACAAAATAAAAGTAATAGAAAAGCTTCACTTAAATGCTGACTTTTAACGCACAATTACGTAATTAAAATCCAGTGCTAGATGCCCTCCATAAGACAGATGGGTATATTCTGTTATGATTCTGCTCTTTGAATTTAGTAAGCTCTGAGCGCTTAATCAGCTAAATAAATAAATAAATTCCTTATTTGATTTTTGAATACCTGGAGGGAAGAGAGCTAAGGGAGGAAAGTTATTTGTAAAAAATAAAGGCCCAATTCTAATGGTCAGTTCTTCATTATAATCTCTTTTTATTTTGTTCTGCAATTGTTATTTTTAGTTTTGATTTGTTATGTAAAATACTGTGTTATGATGTCATTTGGGGATGTGAGTTAATTTTTTATACTGTGAATGTTGTATTGTTTGATCATATTTTATGGTGCAATAAATATAAATTAACAACAACAGCAAACTTAGGGATTTTTCCCTCTCCAAAAGTGCACACTCTTTCTAAACTATATCATATGTCAAAATACTGATGTCAAATACTGTAAAATATAATAGAAAGTTTAATCTTCACTGTTATTGACCACAATTTCTTCCCTTCCCTTCCCTTCCTCTATAATATGCTAGCAATCAGGCTTTAGAATTTTCCATAATTATGAGTTAAATCTTCCCTGGTCAATTGCACAAGTGTAAAAGTTTCTTGAAGAGAGTCCTGGCTGAAGGCTTTTCTGCATGACAAGTCATTAATAGAAAGTTTTTTTGCTGTGCGTGTCTTGTTCAAAGAACATAATATACTCTGAGTTACCACTAATGGGTTGCTATTAATATAGCCATTATCAGTCACCTTGCTTTAGCAATCTTATTTGTGAGCTTTCATTTGTTCTTATATCTATGGATATAAAGGAAGCTCTTGCAACAGATCCTCACTAAAGTTTCATATTTGTCCAAATGAGTTGTGTGAGCAAAGTAATAGAGCATTACGATATTGTTACAGGTTGAAGCTATCTAATGAAGAAATTCGGCAGGCAATTTTGAAAATGGATGAAGAAGAAGACCTGGCAAAAGATATGTTGGAGCAGGTGAAAAGACTTTGTCACTAAAATACTGACTTCAGTGGTAAAAGGAGAGCGTGTTCCTCTTGTCATTAGTTTTCATCTCAGCGAGCAACTTGTATAAACAACTTTGCCAGCATGATGATCAGATTACTTTCAGATTTTTTCCTTCAAAGTTCCTCATTGCCATTGGGTTGATGAGTATAATAATGGTGTTGGGTAGATTGTTACTAATGGCCTTGTATTGTGATAGAAGAATTATTGAACCTGAAGATGAAAAATAGTAGGGAGAAAGAGATTCTTAAAATCTGGGAGAAGGAAAGAAGGCAGAAGGAATAGTATAGTGTGTAGAAGCATGAGGGACACCGTTGGTATTTCACAACAGCAAACTTGTTGGACAAGCCTGTGTTCTCATTTCGGAGCATTTTAAAATACATTCTTTCTAACTTTTGCAACACTAGTTATTCTTATTCCCTTTCCATTCCTCAGATGCCTTGTTTGGGGGAATGCATTCATATGTTTTTCATCTCTCCTGTTAATTTGCTGTTGCAATCTTGGCCATTTAAAACACTGTGCTGTCTTAAATGTACTGCAGTTTACTACTAAAGAATCCCTTGAGTCCTACTGAAATGCCTTGGGTATTACAAGGACAATAACAGAATGGGTATAAAACTTTTTAAATCAATAAGTATTCCAAAAGAAAGTGACTTGAAGTGTCACACATTTATTGCATAGAGTATATTCATGAGACAGGGTTATTTATATTAGGAATGGACAGTGCTTTGAATTTGAAGGGAAAAGAGTGCTTCAGAGCACACCAAAGCATGAATATTGCACCTGTCGGCAGCTCCTTAAACCAAACTTGTCTTTTCCCAGGATCACGTGCAAGCACTGGAAGGCAGCTGTGTGATCCTGGGGGAAAGAACAGCTGAGCTACTTTAAGGAGTTGCTAACAGGTGCTATGTGCCCCCATACTCCAAAGCATCTTTTAAAATCCAGGACAATGCACAGCCATGCATGTATGTGTATGTACACACACATGTAGCTCTTTTTGGAGAGGGAAGCAGAACTGGGTAAAGGTAAAGTGTGACATAATAAAAATGATCTACAATGAGCTTTAACAAAACAATAATTAGGGATGACAGACATTTTTGGATTCAATGGCTGGTTAACACATAAGTATGTTTAAGAAGTGAGGAGCACGTTACACTTTCTAATTGACTGAAGCTCAGCTATTTCCCAATAATGCTGGTCTTTTTTAATTTCTGTTCTCAAGGTCTGAGGCCAGAGATGGTTAATTTTAATTAACTTGTATTTACCAGTACACAGTTTTTCACTTTTGGGTGGCAGCTAGGACTTCTTCCATTACCATTAGCTCATCTATGGCCCAGTAACACTTAAGCTACTTCTTAGAATAATTAATGAATTGGTAAACAAACAAAAAAAATCAGGCTGATCTTCTGGCATATTTTGCTGGCAATTGGATGTGTCAGGCCAAAGCTTTAGTCCCACCAGATATGCAAAAAATCTTTTGTTGAATGTGCCGTGTTTTGAGTTCAACCCATAAATGCATGGATGGAGCACCCCATATATCTAGTCACATAGACATTGTTCATTATCTTTCTGAAGCAGTCATTTTAGAAATGTGCTGGAGGGGATGGAGAGGCGGATAGACAGAACTTTGTACTGGAGGAGGAACAGGACCAATGCTTTCAGTGCTTTATTTATAGTGCTACACTCTGAACAGTCTTATATGTCAGAGAAGTTCTTTATTAAATATCAACATCATACACAGCAAATAGTGGCTGGAAGTGAGAAATCCTACATGGAATTACAAAGTATGTAACAAAGTCCAAGTGGGAAGACAAAGAATCAACCAAATGTTTCAGGTCATTTTAATAACTACAGCTGCATTGCTTCAAAAATACTATTGTATCAGGATTCAGAGCAGCACTTTCTCTCAGTACCAGTCTTTTAGTTCATTTATGTACTATCTACCTCCTTGTCCTGTTGATTGCTTCATGTTGTGCATATTGTTGTTGTTGTTTTTAAAAAAACCACCCTTGCGGTTCCAGCTACTGAAGTTTGTTCCGGAGAAGAGTGATGTTGACCTGTTGGAAGAACATAAGCATGAAATTGACCGAATGGCACGAGCAGATCGTTTCCTCTATGAAATGAGCAGGTGCATATATACACATACACGAGTCTGTTTGCATGTGATGGAGAATGAGAAGAGAGAAAGGGAGGGAATACTGTACTATAAATTAGCATTCTCTATATAAGAGTACAGCCCTCATAATTCCTAGACATCATGACCTTGCTAACTTACAATTATGGAAGTTAAATCTAATAGGTTGAGAATACCAGGTTGGGGAAGACTGATACAATATTTCAAATAATATCATTGTAGTTTAGAACTTCTCTTACTCATTAAGTAGCTGTATTTGTCAATGAAATTCAATCACCTGCCTTTTCTATTTAAATCATATAATGAATGTTATAATGTATTTCAATAACAGGCTCCTTCCCTGTATAAATTGCTCTGTTGTGCAATGGAATTGAAAGCTTGAGGCTCAAGTTAGTTATGCCTAAGAGTGACCCTTGTATAAAACACTGGAAATATACTGGGAAAATATTTCTTTTATTGAACTGGAAGCTTCTTTCTCCTCTTTTTCCCCTGTATTTGATGTCTTCAATACCTTGTTCTTCAGGGGAATAAAAATGCATGATTGTTATGAGATTAAGGATTGACCCTTTGCTGCAAGGCCTTGTTTCCAAGCAAAGCAGCTGATAACATTTTTCGTATTCATGGATTTCAGTTGCTGAAGTAATAAAACAGACTATGAATAAAAATGGATTGATCTTACAGGTATTCTGTTTTGCTGAAAGATTTATTGAAATGCAGCTCAAATTTCTTGCTCCCTTCTTTCTAGGATTGACCACTACCAACAAAGACTTCAAGCATTATTCTTTAAGAAGAAGTTTCCAGAGAGGCTTGCTGAAGCTAAGCCAAAAGTGGAAGGTAAGTTATATTCTTTACAAACAGTAACATATTTCAGGTGTCAGAGGTGTCATCCTGCCCAAGGGATGCTGTGCAGTGAAGCATTCTATGCAAGCTTAAGCAGAAGAAAATTGATGCCACTGTGATTTATGTTCCAGATTGAGCAGCCTGAGTTTTCTGGCTCTTTGGCAGGATCCCAGCTCTTTGGAAAGCTGGATGGAGCACAAAGGTTCTGGGGATGCATCACGATTACTGCAGAGGAAAGCTTGTCACACCCTTCCTTCCCTGACAATCTCATTTCCTAGTAGCAGTAAGAGGGTTGATGGTGGAGCAGGCCAGGAGTGCAGGTTGCCCACTCCTGTTCTATGCATCCTGATTTGTAATGCAGAATCTCTTTGGTAACATTCCTGCTTTTCCCAGAAGTTTTTCTGCAGAACTAGAACCACCCGAATAAACATGTTCAGTATATATATTTCCACACAGTGTTGCACTTCCTAAGTTGAAAAGTGAGAGAGGAGCTTTGGCTTTAGAAAAATATAGTGCACATTGTTAGAGATCCCTCCCCCACATCATCCCTTTCAAACTATCATCATTCCAGTATGTCAGTCTAAGGGTACCTCTTGTCTCTTTCAGCTATTCTTCTGGCCTCCAGAGAGCTCATCCGCAGCAAGCGCCTGAAGCAACTCTTGGAGGTTGTGTTGGCCTTTGGCAATTACATGAACAAGGGACAAAGAGGAAATGCATATGGCTTTAAGGTTTCCAGCCTGAATAAAATTGCAGACACCAAATCTAGCATAGATAAGTAGGTTCACTTACTAATTATAAGTGTTCTATACTGTACTTCGGTAAAAATTCTCAAGGGAGTTTTCATAATATAAAAACAATTAAAATACAGTTTATTAATGTTAATTAATTAATTTTGTACATCATACATGAGTATGCACATCTGGAAAGATTCTACATCAAAAGAGGTTGCGTTCTACATAATGAATTTTGGTTCAAGCTTGAAACAGAGAAAATAGCCTTGTATCAAAAGGATAAGAGTTACTCCAAACTGAAGAACTAAGAAGCAGCAATGTTTTTAAAGCTGAAAAAAATCTCTGCAGGGTTAAAATTATTAGTGGTATTTGCACAATTCTGAGGTGAAGTTTTTTAACACACTTATGGGAATTAAAAAAACAACAACTCATCTTCAGGGAATGATAAAATCTTTCAAATCTACAGGTGGAGTATTTATCTTTGTATAGTCAGTAACCAGCACTTTCTTCTGAAACTCTTTGCTACTACCAGAAACGAGTGACACTACATGATTTCTATAGCTGTTTTACTCTGCAGTGCTTCTATCCAATGGCATTTGGTCATTCGAAAGAGAATGCTTTGTTTTTCATTTTGAGAGCATCCATAAATATATGTGCCATCCTTCCATATCACTAGTGAACCTGTTGTTTTTTTGTAGCATAAAAAAAAAGCTCTTTTAAAAGAAGGGAAGGGGTTGAGCTTCTCTAGATGGGGATTGGGAATATTAATTTTTTTCTAATCCAAATTGTCAGCACCTTTTCCCTGCCCTCCCAAATTGTAGATATGCTGTTCCACTTTCACAGCTGGAGAATGGGGCTCAGAAGACAGGCTCTTCCATCCCCAAATGAAAGATAATCTCTCAGGGACCTGGGCAAATGGAAGACTCTTTGTTTGGGAAATACATACACAAACAAAACAATGTAGCCATTGAATAGCCTTCTTGGAAGCTTGGGGTGTTTTGCTGGGAGACTTTTGTACTTCGTTCAGTGTTGCTTTTGTTGTTGAGTCATTTGCAAATAATCATTTGAGCTTTCAGGGCAGAGGTGGGGAACATCTAGTCCACCAGATGTTGTTGAAATACAGCTCCCAGAATGTGAAGGGTGCTGGCAATCATCATACTATGCAACACATCTGAAGGACAAAACATTCCTCACTCTTACTTTAGGGGGAAAGATGCTATGTGAAATATTAAATTAAATCAATAAAAGCATTTACATTGCTGCCCAACTCAGATAAAGTGACTCTGGGTGGTATCCAAAAACAGAAGAGAAATCAAACCAGCAAATACAAAAAGAAACGATACCTACCAATTAAAACCCATTGAAACAATAAAATGGCAATCAGAGCTGAAATATACTGTAACTCATCAAATTGAGGACTCTACTCAGCCTGACCCAAAGGCCTCAGGAAGTAGCTATTAGGAGAGAGAAAATTACAGCAATTTTATTTTAAAAATATATATGCTGATAGTAAGTGTTTGATTTCATTTTAAGCTTTTCAGATATAGCATGGTAATTACCCTTATGATCTTGTTTCCTATCTCATTCATACCTATTTTTCTTAGGAATATTACATTATTACATTACTTGATTATGATCTTTGAAAAGAATTACCTAGATATCCTTGACATACAGTCTGAACTACAACATCTTCCAGAAGCAGCAAAAGTCAAGTAAGTGGTCATGCTGCTGGGTAATGGCGGTCTCTTGATGGATAATTATGTTGAGATGTGTTTGTAATCTATAGATCAGCATTCCAAGTAAAGGGGACATATGGAAGCAGATATCATCGTTATCAGTCAAAAACATAACTTAAAAAAATCATTCTCAGATGAAAATGCGTGTGTATATATCTTACCACAAGAGTCTTCAACTTTTAATCAGTGAATAGCTCTATAATTCAGTCAATAAATACGCAGTAATGCTCTTGAGTATTACCAAGAATAAATACTCTGTTTTAGAGTATTTAGTTCTAAACAGGAAGTGATCTAGGATGATTGCCCAAGACTACACGTGCCATAAAAACTTGATTGGCAATACAATAATTTATAGTTTTAATATTTAATAAGTATTAATGTTTTTATTAGCCCATGAATTCCAAAGAAAGAGAGAGAATGCATTTTATTTGCCTTTTTTAATGTGGGAATGTCCCAAAGTGTAAGTTTGTCATGTGAATAAGGATCAAAATTGTACTTCCATCTCAATAACTTTTTAATATGTCTTGTAGTCTTTAATGCTCAAAATATTGTAGATTTATGAATAAAAGAAGAACCAAGCTCTTATAATAATATCAGAGGGTTCACATAATAACTTTCTAACTGTGCCTATAATAGTTTTTGATTACTTGGATTCTGTGCAAAAAGAGAAAACAAAATATATGACCATTGATAAAACTGAAAGTCAGGATTTTAAAAAAAAAAAAACAGCAATCAGCTAAGTTAGTAAGGAATACCTTAAATTTTGTAAGTTTCTGTTCCACTACTCCTTTTTCACTGATTTGAAGAGGTTTGATTCATGCTGTGACTCCATACAACTGTATCTGAAAGTCGGTCTTACAGATTTGAAGGTCAATAAATCCTAATGGTTTCAAAGGAACTAAAGAAATGCAGAGAACTGTAGTATTTGCTTATTGACTTGTTTTGAACCATGTTGATGTTTTGAATTGTGCTTATTTTGCACACAGTTTGGGTTTTAGCTCATGCATTTAATTGGGTATCTGATGTACAATGTTTGTATTCAAAGCATTAATTTGATTTCATTTTATATGCTAATTTGTGGCCCCTCTACTTCTAGAAAAAGATTTAATGATCAAAATGTATTAAGTTAACAAAGTTAAAGGAGCGCATAACATGATCCAGATAAAGTAAATTTAAAGCAGGAAAAATATCAAAAGGCTTTCACCTATCACAAAAATATTTTAAGGTCCAATAGGTACATAGGTAGACTAAGCATGAAAAACAGTTCTGCCTCAGTTCCTGTTGGGGGGAAAGAATCACTTCAGTAGATCTATGGGGGAGACCAAATAGTAGCCAAAATTAAGTCCAAGCAGCATTTGTTTGGGGGGAAATCTCTATAGTAGATACTGAAGGTTGTTGTGTTAACTTTCTGAATGTTATGGGATGGTCAAAAATATTCTATTGTTATTTTATCTACTTATGTTTCCATTCAAAAAGTCTAACATATACTAACAGTGGTGGACTCTTTAAAGAGGAAGCGTTTCTTCCCCAGGGCTTCCATTCAGCGTAACTTCCATTCATCCCCAGAACAAACATTTGCCATATTGAAATCTGCCCCCAAAATGGATGGTTTAACCAATTTAACCTATCTTGGTCAGTTAATCCTAAATGGGGCACATAATTATTTTGATTTCAGGTTATGGAAGAAATTAAAGATAAAAACAATACTTGAAGTAGGGCCTAGAAACAGTGGCAAAACTAAAGCTGATGGAAGTATTTGCAGTATGTCCATGCTGTCTAGTCTCAATCCAGAGATAGTTGAATGTTACTATTTCTGAGAGTATCTGCTTTTTAAAAAAAAAATTCCACCTTTTATTATTTTTATAAATAATTCAAGGCGATGAACATACCTAATATTCCTTCCTCCTTCTATTTTCCCCACAACAACCACCCTGTGAGGTGAGCTGGGCTGAGAGAGCATGACGGGCCCAAAGTCACCCAGCCAGCTTTCATGCCTAAGGCGGGACTAGAACTCACAATCTCCTGGATTCCAGCCGGGTGCCTTAACCACTAGTCCAAACTGGCTCTTTTTAAACTCTCTCTCTTTAAATCTGCTTTAAATAGTTAAATAAGCAGGTAGCAGCTTTAATGAGTTGTCCATTAAAGCAGCTGTGTCTCTTTTTAGACTCACAAAAGGCTGAAAAGGTTACAGCTGTTTTAAAGAAATGCTGTACCTATCCTTTGCATTTAGAAACATCTCTTCCAAATCATTTTCAGAGCATGCATAGCCCTAAACTTAGTTAACTGTTGGTATGAGTAGTGTTTATAACCTGAGTCAGATGGATCTGGAGCTACCTTCTTTTGTGTTTTAAGCAATTAGCAATTAATGAATAACATTTCTATCATGCCTTTCTACAATAGATGTTCAGAGTGACTGGTAACATAGCTATTTTTTATTTTTAGAAATTCATCAAAATAGAATCAGCTTAGTAAACATAAGAACACCAGGTAATAGCAAACAAGGACTCCTGTACTCCATTTAAGCTGGTCAGATGAAAAGGCTTAGTTGTGTTCACAGCTCTGGTAGCCTGCCTCATATATTGCAGATATCCTGAGGCCAAATTGCATACTTTTGAAGAGTCTAAAGTCTGAAACTTTCTCTTAAAAGCTAGTGATCAGCAGAATGGACCTCTCCCTCTGTTCTCTTAGCATCTGCTGTGGGGCTGGTGCTGGAGGGAGGATATTAGACTGGAAAGACCCATGATCTCCTCTACTTCAGCAGTTCCTCTACTCCCCTTGTAACACTGCACTTTTGTTTTAAGTCACTTTCTCTCTGTCTCCTTGCAGCCTAGTGGAGTTGGAGAAGGAAGTTAATAACATAAAGACTGGGTTGAAAGCTGTTGAAGCTGTAAGTATGTCATAGTTTCTAAATACACTATTTTAAAAATGTCCCACCAGGGATCTGGAGGAGAGGGTGTTTTGTTGAGAGAAGAAGGAGCTTTTCTTCCTTTGTCAAGCAAAGCCTGTTTCTCCCAGACCATTCCCCCCCTCCTCACCCCAGTGTCTCTTGTGAAAGCTGGTGTGACGATATTAACAGATGTGCAGGGAAGTTTGTTTGATCTGGGGCTGAAAGCAGGGGAATGGGAGTTTGACAAACAGTGTTAATTCAAATGTTGAATACTTTTTTTTTCTTTCAGAGATTTTTAGTCTCTGAGCAGGTGTTAGATGTGGCCTCTGTGGACAGGTCTACACAGGTGGGGTGTAGCCCAAGTATTAAAGCATTTATTACCCGCCAATGATTGCCAAATAGGGAGGGAGTGGTGTAAGTCTGAAAGGAGACGGCCACAATGCCCTTCCCCAACCCAGTGCTCTCCAGATACATTGATTTTTAATTCCCCAGGGGAAAATTACTAAACTCCAATACACCTAGAGGGCCCCCCAATGGGGGAAGATTATTGTATAGTTTTAAATTAGTTGTTACATTATGCACTAAAACTACTCAAAGCCTTTAAGCATGATTCTTTTTTTCCCTCAAATGCCCTCTGCCCTTTTAATGTCCTAGCAGAACCTTGTATGTGATATAGATGCATAGATTGTAGGGAGCTGTCTGAGATCAGTCCAGATATGACTGGCATTTATTCAGGTTGTAAGGCAGGAGTCTTTTGCCTCCCTTACTGTGTGCAAATACTGTTTTATGAATGAGCCATGGCATTTCACTCCATTTCTGGCCTTTCTCTAGTTCTTGCATACAAATTGAATGGAAAAAAATCCTTTGTAGCTTGTTTTAAAAATAAGGGTTTGGAATATTGCAAGCCTGTCTTTTAGGGAGTAGCTCAAACTTTGAACAGTGTTTCTATTTTCTGCTTTAGTTTTATAGGCTTTGGGATAATTTCTGTGGAATGACACTGAACTCATAAGGAATGGAGCCAACCAGCTATTGCAAACAGAAAGTCTTAGTCATACCAGGATTCTTCAGGGTATTGCAGATGGGTGAACTGGGGGTAGGAGTTAGAGCCGGTAACATCTCCTTCCTCGTCTTATCTCTGTTGTGGGCTTTCTGTGTGGCCTTCCTTTAGTCATGCTGTCTCTGCCTCCCACCTGTGATTTGAGACTGATGGATTAATCTGCAATTTCAAACATGCTCCCAAGATTAAATATTTGCAGCAAGTGAGAGCGTTTTAGAGGCATATCATTTCATCTGTTTTCTCTTATTGAGTTACTTGTCTGCAAATGCTAGGGCTGTTTTCAGTAATTTCCTTAAGAGAGCCGGTGCAGTCCTCTGGAGAGAGAACAGTGAAATGTTAATGCCAAGCTTTACTATATGTTTCCTGCATGTTTCATTTACAAGAAATGGTTTTAACACAGGATTGTAACATTTACCTAGTCACTATATAGTGGGTGAACTAGCCATTGGTAGTGCTCTATGTTAGTAGACATAGGATATATTCAAGGCATAGAATAGTGCTTTTTCCCCTTAGACCTGTAAATACTATGCTCCCATGTGAGGTTACTTAGGAAGGGTGGGTAGAAGGGAAAGTGATAACACTCCCTTGCTCTCACTCCCTTCCTTCTCTAGTAGATTAATCTGCAAGATCTCAGCTGATTGAATTAAATTGTTTTTGTTTTTATTTGCTGCTCCTCTGTTTACCTGCAAGTGGTCATTTTAGTCCTTATCGTTCTTTAACAATTTTTTGTCCATACAGTCTAGGTGAGAGGAGTCCCTCGACTGTGCTAGATTTTTGGTACACTAGAAATGGCATCGATTCCTTGCAACTCCTGAAGGGCAAAAAACCTAGAGTATCACAGATCAAGGATTATTTTCAATCATCTTTAGTCTCTGTTAGACACATCCTGCCTTCTTTGTAACATACATTCAGAGTAAATTTTGGAATCCATTCCAAATTCCACTGCCAAGTTTAAGTAACACCCTTTGCCCTGTTGCTGTTCTTCATGCTACAGATTAGAATCTCCCCTTGACTCATAAGTCCTCGGAAAAGGTATGTGCATGGGAGATACAGGTATCAATCCTTCTAACAGGAAAAAGAAATGCTAAAAGGTATGGAAAAGTGCCTCCAATTCATTAAGTCCTCCTCAATGTGTATTTTTAATACACATTTTGAAGCCAAATCTCATAGGGAGTCAGGCAACGGCGAACACTTGGTCAGTTTGTTTGCTAACCCTGAGAAGGTAGTTCTCAAACACTAGGTGTACTGCTTGACAAGCTCACTTTGCCAGACCCCATCTTCTAAAACAGGCAGAATTTTTAACTTCATAAGAAAGCCCTGTGTGTCCCAGCAACTCTGTGACGGCTGTTTTGTGAAAGCAAGAGTTTGCAAGAGGTAATTCTTGAATGGCAAACTACTTGCTCTCAACTTGCCCAGTGTCCTTGCGGTACCTTCTCCTTCCTCTTCTTGGCCAAGCATTTTTTCCCATTCATGCACCAGTTCCTTTCCCTCCCATATCACTTTATTATTATTATTATTATTTTAAAACTTGGCAGCCAACGTCTCCCTGTGTAGCTCATTCATTTCACTTTTGGGGGGGGTGGTATATAAAAACGTAGCAATGTAACAACAATAGAAGGCCGTTGTTGGGAGGAGACGACAGGAAAAGAAAAAAAAGGTGCAACTGTTGACTGCATTCCAACATGTTCTCACCACAGTCCTGGCACTGACAGTGGAGAGGGTTCTTCAAGGCCCCTTCTTACAAACATCAGACTAAAAATAGGTTCACAGTCAGCTGCTCACAGAGGCACTTTGTAATCCGTCGCTTCCCAGGGTTGGCAGCACCATTTAAAAATGAGATGTGAGCCCAGCTTTGAGAAACTTCACAGACTACAGCCAGCAAGGCAAAGTAAATCAAAATGGAAAGCTGTAAACCCTCGGTACTCTTTATGAGGATAGCTGCCAAGGCATCAGCTCTCTTGCCAATGGCATTTGTAACTTTTATGGGACTGGCTTTGCTGTAAAACTGTTTCAGACTAACAGTAGAAAGTAAGATTTTTAAACACATGTCTTAACTTGGGCACCATCTATAACAGTGCAGTGTTGGTTTCTAAGTTTTTTGTCAAGGCAAAGGAGAGAAAAAACAATGTCCTAAACAGTGCCCTCCAAAGGTGCTTATTCCAGTTAAAACTGAAAGTAGTAAATAAGCCATTATTGTAACAAAGCCATCAGTGTTTATGGGTTGTCAAAAGAGCTTGCTGCCTCACCTTAGAGGAAAAGGGGAGTAGGAAAAAGAGGCAAAGCTACTTACTGAACCCTAACAAAATACTGTTGTAGCATTGGGGAAGGAAGTCCTGTTGCTTGGTTAAAGAGGTGCAAATGGATCCAAATTCAAACTCTAGGATCTCTTGTTAGAAGTAGGATGGGCATGTGTCTTAATATCCAGATACGCATTGTTAGTCATGGTAGGCAATAATGAATTAGATGAACCAAGTGGTTAAAGGTATAAGGCAGTTTCTTCTGTGTTCCACAATTTTCTGGATTTCCTCCCCTAAATATGATCAGGTTCTTAATGCTTCCATATAAATCTCTGTTCCATTTTTCTCCAGGACCCTACACAAAGAGATCACCTTAAAATCTTGTGGGGTAAATAAAACTCTGTGGAATGGGTGAGATCAAGTGAGATTCAATCCAGTTCCCCTTAGTCTGCACTCCTAAGCTGCTACTGTATCAAACTTGAATTGTGAGCTCAATATCCAGATTCACAGCAGAGTCCTAGGCAAATTATTTATTTATTTATTTATTTTTATTTATTTATTAAATTTCTCCCCCGCCCATCCCCCCCAATGGGGGACTCTGGGCGACTTACAAAAAACATTAAAACCATAAATATATATAAA